AGGGTCTGAGGAGGTCGGCCCGGCGTCTAAGACTAGGTTTCAGACTCTAAGATTCTATCCGGGAAAGAGGGAAAAATGTTATTCCTTATTTGTATACAGAATTTTATCAGTAATCTGCAGTACGAGAACCAGAAAAATCTGGAATAGAAAGACGATTCATGTTATTATTTCAAATAGTCCAATGAACATGAGACACCGTGTAAACAGATTCATTTTACTTAATAAGGAATTTAATTAATTAATGCAAACTATTTGCTTTATAATACCATCAAATACACTTAATTCACGGGCAGCCGTAGAACATTTGAATTTCCGAGCCGGGTCAACATTTCCGGTCCCAGTTTGTACTGTACCTAGCTCTGTGGACAGTACTAGCCGTTGCAATAAGGTTGACGCGGACAGACTTTATGCTTCATAAAGGTTCAATTTACTTTTACTAAAGGGGCAGAAGTGCGTGAATTGAATATTGTTATTTGGTTGTCCTATCTCACAGTTTTCTGGTTCTCACTGATACACATAAACTTCAATCAAAACATAAACAAACACATTTTAGACTTTACTAGCATACAAAACATCCCACAGATTTAAACTTTCCTACAGTGAATCCCAGATATATATGAATACCTCAGAATATATATATATTCTGAGATGAATACATAGCAAGAGTTTTTTATAAGGTTGTATTACATATTTAAGATGAAATGCCGCGGAAAAATGAGTTTAATATTGATTTATTAATTGCATTCTTATTTCAGGGCTATTAATTTACCTTGAATTAGAAATAAAAGAAGTTTCTTTATAATTATCAAAAAACGTATGACGGTCCATGTATTCATATATTTAGGATTCACTGCAATATACGCACCATGACTAAATAAAAAACGATTTAGAGAGAATTATTTCATAATGGTCACCAAATTATCATGTTTATTGGGACACCCTGTCTATGTTAAGAATTATAAAATTGCAGCCGAGTGAAAATTGTTATTGATAACCATTAGAAATTCTTATTGATATCTTATTATAATAAATAAATAATTTTTTACGGAAAAAAACTTTAAGAAGACGACATTTCAAATTGTCGAATCTGAATTAATCATTATAAAATGTTTGGATTTTTGTATAGGGTTACTCACAAATGACGAGACTTCAAGTTTAGCGCGTATCAATTCAAAACATTGAAAAAGTAGCTAAAATAGTTTTATTTTTTCCTCTATACTAAATCATTGTTTTTCTCTCACTCTGACTCAACACACTTTTTATAATGTTTAGAATGAAGACGACATTATAATTTTACACTTTTTATTATGTTTAGAATGATGACGACTCTCTGTTGTTGCTGAAAAATACCAAATTGAACGAGTATTATGTAGATTATGGAAGGTACGTAACTAAACGAGAATAAACCGTTTACCTGACAAAAACAATATGAATTATATGTTTGAACAGATTTTCCTTACATTTTGTATTTTTCCTCAAAACTGACAAAAACAATATGAATTATATGTTCATATGTTTGAACAGATTTTCCTTATATTTTGTATTTTTCCTCAAAACTGACAAAAACAATATGAATTATATGTTTGAACAGATTTTCCTTACATTTTGTATTTTTCCTCAAAACTGACAAAAACAATATGAATTATATGTTAGAACAGATTTTCCTTACATTTTGTATCTTTCCTCCAATCTGACAAAAACAATATGAATATACATATGTTTGAACAGATTTTCCTTATATTTTGTATTTTTCCTCAAAACTGACAAAAACAATATGATTATATGTTTGAACAGATTTTCCTTATATTTTGTATTTTTCCTCAAAACTGACAAAAACAATATGATTATATGTTTGAACAGATTTTCCTTATATTTTGTATTTTTCCTCCAATCTGACAAAAACAATATGAATATATGTTTGAACAGATTTTTCTTATATTTTATATTTTTCCTCAAAACTGACCAAAAACAACATGATTATATGTTTGAACAGATTTTCCTTATATTTTGTATTTTTCCTCCAATCTGACAAAAACAATATGAATATACATATGTTTAAACAGATTTTCCTTATATTTTGTATTTTTCCTCAAATCTGACAAAAACAATATGAATGATATGTTTGAACATATTTTCCTTATATTTTGTATTTTTCCTCCAATCTGACAAAAACAATATGATTATATGTTTGAACAGATTTTCCTTATATTTTGTATTTTTCCTCCAATCTGACAAAAACAATATGATTATATGTTTGAACAGATTTTCCTTATATTTTTGTTTATTTTAAGAATGATGATAAAGTAAATTTTGAGCAATCAATCAAACAGCAAAACTCAGTTTGACAAAAAAAAATTGGTGGCATTTTTGATTTGTTTATAAACAGAGGGGGTCATGTCAACGTCCATATATATTTATTACTAAATTGAATTTCCCCAAAGATGAATTACATATGAGGACTGTAGGGGTGTCAATCCTTTTAATTGGTCCTTTATTTATAAAAGTAAAAAAAAGCCATAAATCATTTAATGAAAAAAAGTCGTCTTGCAATTTCCAAAATAAACAAATAGATTTTAACAGAAAAGAAACTCTATTTATGAAGTATAAATCTTTATTTGTAAGTTTGCTTTAATATCGCGGCCGGACTATCCCTTTGATTAATGTTGTTCAGAGAAAACCCCCAACGTGCTGAAAAAGATTCGTTAACTGCTCAACAGAGCTTGAGGTACATTTTTCTATTTCTCATACATAAAAAATTCACACAAGTATGGCCTCAAAAAATGAAACTTAAAATTGTCTTCCATGATACTGCAGGGTGTACCAAAAAACATGGGAATTCAGTTACGAATTCGATATCGTCTTTGTTATGAATTAGCATTGTAATACCTAATTTCAAAAGCCATTATATTATTATGTCTGCTAGAGTTTATTTTATGAAAAGGGCAAAAGACTGCAAAGATGTGTCTATAATGTCTCCGCAAGATGAACAGTGAAGACGGACAAGTTTACTCTGTTTGTATACTGTAATTTTCTTGTTTTACTAAGTACAACCGTATGTAGTCAAAACATAAACAAAAAAAATGTGAACATAGCAGACGAAACTCTTACAGATTACAGCTTTTTCAGTAGGTATCACTATACTAAATCAAAGAATTATTTAAAAAGACGATATCCAATTCGTCACTGAATTCCCATGTTTATTGGGACACCCTGTACAGGGCGTTCCACGAAACATGATAGTACCAAGACGACTTAAAGGATTTTAACCTAACTCGGTTAATTTTTTTTTCATAAAGGGATAACCTGAAAACAATGGAATAAGAGGACGATATACAATCATAACCAGAAAACTCCGAAATAGGAAGACGACTTTATAGCAATGTGTATTTAACGCAAATATTTTTACTAGACACTTATTAAATCACAAATCAAGTGAAATGGGTCTGAACAATTTCTGTTTCCCGTTCTCATTGGACTATCTAAAGTCATAATTTAAGTTTAAAAATCGTCTTCCTATTCCAGAGTTTCTGGTTATCATGTAGTATCAATATTTAAGTATATTTGCTATGTTGTTACAAAGCAAATAGTTTTATTAGACACTTATTATAAAACATAAATTTGTTTAATGGGTCTGATTACACTGCCCACTTGCTGTGTGTCATGCTCATTGGAGAATTAAAGTTATAATTTGCGATTCTAAAAGTCGTCTTTCAATTTCAAAGTTTTATGATTATCACTGCATAGCTAAAAACGCCTGGCAAAAGAGTCCCCAAAAACTTCTTTACTTTTCGTGCTTAATAATTATTTAAGCTACAGATTGAAAAAATTATAATGTTTTTAAATTCCCTTGAAAAATTGATTAATTATAATATTGAATCAATAAAAGTTTTTATTTAATCTGGTGTTAACTAATTTTCGTTAGCTTTCACTTTTAGTTTTTGATGATACATTCCGTTTTCAAATTAAACAAAAACGATCCTGTCTTTAAAGAGCTTTCGGGAGTAATTTTTAAGTTTTTAATTTATATTAGTCAATCAAATTAGCTGTTCTCATGAGGGAGGGAAGGCAACCAGCAACCTCCCCCACACAGCCTCCGAACCTCATTTTACCTATTTTCGCAATGCTCGTTCCCATAGGGCTTCCGTTTATAATCGTCAATTTCTACTTAAAACGGATTATTTTAGCACAGTAATGCATCTATAGTATCCTTAACATTTTCATAATACTTTTATTTCTTTTTTACAATCAAAGTTTGGGCTGGAAAACCAAAACTTTGTAGATTTGGTTTCATATCCCATTTCAGTTCACCCTTCCCCCGCCCCCCTCCCTCCCGTATATATTTGCATCTGTGGTCTGTCAGGTGTTCTTCTGCTGCGGCTCTGATTGCAGTTCCCTTACAGCTTCATATCTGTTTGCAGACGAAAAATCGAAGTCTTAATATTAGTTCATTTAACATGCAAAATAATGCAATAAACAACAATAAAAGGAAATTTGGGCAACGCTCTAGTTAATGAAAATGCGATTTAGTTTTATTTCAAATCTATAGCACTTGTATAATAAAAGGCGGCTACAGTTTTAACATCATAAGGTTATAACAGAGTTTTGTTTTCTTTAAATATCTAACTATAGAAAGAAAAATTTAATAAGGGCAGTGTTTTTTAGAATCAACTTATCTGTTTACATATTTGTAAAATTATTCATAAAAAGTCGGCAGCCAATCCAAGGTTTGTTGAGAATAAAAATCTATAATCAAAAGCTATTTTCTCCCTGATCTTTGATTGTAAAAAAAAATATTATGCAAATGTTAAGGATACTATAGATGGATTACATTTGCTTAAATAGTCGAATTAGTCCCGTTTTAAGTAGAAATTGACGATATAAATGGAAGATCATTCCAGGAAGACTGTTTGGGGGAGGTTCAGGAGTCCTAGGGGGGCGCACACTGCCGCAATTAGATAAAATGCGGCTTGGAAGTTGTGTGGGGGAGGTTGCTTCCCTCCCTATTCTCATACTTGTCAACAAAATCAAAACTAGAGAAGCTACGAAGTCACAAATTCGTCAAAAAACTTTTATTTTCAGTTTTCCTGGAGAGGAGTATGGAGTAGTCCTGAGACCTTTACTTCAATATTCTGAAGCTGTTCTGCCAGGTGACCTCATTTTTTTAACAAAATCCGGGTGAATTAAAAAATAAAATATTTTTTTTATTTTTCAGATATTGTTTTGCTTGAACTTGAATCTCGGGAAGTTGAAATAAAACGCAGGAAAATTAGTTTATTATCAAAGAAGGATTAATTTGATTGATTTGATTGATTTTATTTATTTGATTGATTTGATTGATTTGATTAATTTGATTGATTTGATTGATTTGATTGATTTGATTGATTTGATTGATTTGATTGATTTGATTGATTTGATTGGTTTGATTGATCAACTAAAATCTATAATCGGAAAATCAGGAATGGAGAGTTCCGTTTGAGTTTCCGAAGATTCCGTTCCTTTGAGACGTTCCTGATCCTAGTTGAGCCAAGAGATGGATATTCCAAGGAAATATTATCTTTTACAAACAGTTTAAAGGGACTCTATAAGGACGTAATTTCAAATAACCTTATATTGAATGATAGGCTTTAATCCTTTGTATAAGATCTAGAAGTATGTATATTTCACTCTCAAGAAAAATGCTTAATTAATTAAATTGCTTTCAGTATCCCTACAGCTTAACTGGCAATCAACGTTGACAGAAAAATCACAATTTAAAAAAATAATTTTCAGAAGGGACAAATTTAAGAATATCTCATTGATCTCGGCCTAATCAAAAATATAGGAAAAGAGTGGCCGTTATTATTCGTCATAAAAGTAATAATTAGTTGTAATTGATCTTGTTACAACGCAAACAGTTTAGCAGCAGTTTTAAAATCAACTTATTGAGTGAAATGGATCTGTTTACACAGCTAGCACAACCACTGTGTCTCATTTTCATTGGACTTTTTAAAGTCATACATCAAGTCTTAATAAGTCATCATCCTGGCTATATCCAGTGTTTTCTGAATCTCATTCTAGTAAACCTATGGGAGGAGGAGGGGGGGGGGGGGGGAATAATCAACAGCTGTAAATATTTATTTCATATTCTTAACATTCTTTTTTACAAAATGTTTGCAATTTCAAAAATACTTTCTGTTCAATATTTTATATTTCTGCTAACAAAGATCAAAATTCCAGAGTAGTGTATTTTTCCCTGGTGATTATTTGGTCTCCATCAGAGCAGGGTGTGAAACCCTCCTACATGGAGAAAATGCTACCATTGAAGCTATAGGGAACAGAAAACCATAAACTTGAACATTTTTATTTAGAGGGGGTGTTAGTGACCAAATTTAACCCTCAGGTCGTTAGAAAAATCTCATTCTTTATGGGGAACACTATATATGTTAATATGCCAATTTTTACATGGTTTTCTTGTTGATTACAGTGGACTACATTAAACAAATAGAATCAGACATTTGTTTATGCTTAAACCGGTTTTCTGCAGCTCATGAATTAGTCAGGTAAACAAATTTGAAATATATAATATCGATTCTTTCTAAATGTAAAATATTATTTTCTCTGCTACTGTATACTGTCTACCGTCTACCGTCTACCGTCTACCGTCTACCGTCTAATAAAATATTAAAGAATAGCGTAATTGACAAGAAACCTCGTTGATCGTCTATGGCAGGTGGAGTAGCTAAACCAAACACTTTTCCGAAAATTTTCGAGTTATATTGGGTGCGAAAATCGGGAATCTCTTTATCACGAATATGTTTGCAAAAGTCTCGAAGCTTTTGGATTATGGAAGATTTTTTTCGAAAATTTGGAAACCTTGTAGACTTTTACTAAATACTTTGTTAAACCTTTAAGCTTTTACTAAATACACTGTTAAACCTTAAAATCTTTACTAAATACACTATTAAACCTTAAAATCTTTACTAAATACACTGTTAAACCTTAACATCTTTACTAAATACCTTGTTAAACCTTTAAACTTTTGCTAAATATACTGTTAAACCTTAAAATCTTTATTAAATACACTCTTAAACCTTAAAATCTTTATAAATACATTGTTAAACCTTAAAACGTTTACTAAATACACTGTAAACTCTTAAAACGATTGCTTAATACACTATTAGAAAAAATATCGAATGCCCGAAAGCATTATTTTCTCTAATTTAAAAGAATTAAGCAAAATACGTTATGTAAATCACATTACATACATACATAGTACACATTACAACCTTGCTTTTTCAAGTCCTGCAAACCTTTATTTTTTTACTTTTTAGTTAATTTATTTAGAATAAATTTGTTTTTAATTATCTATTGCGGAAGTAATCTCTATTTATGCATAGTATACACTGTATCCTTATCTTGGTGAAGAAAACGATTAAAAATCGCTTTCTTTTAAAAGAAAGCGACTCAGAACAGACGGTCGCTTAATAACGTATTAAAAGTCTGAAAATTAAAGGATTTTTAATCACTAACTTACGGATTAAAAATCTGTAACTTGGCGAAATAACGGATTATTAATCTGAAGTTTCTCTGACGAACTGTACGCACGGACAATTAATCCGTTATTTCACGAAATAAACGATTTTTAATCTGCGACTTTAAACATTGTTTTTCCAAAGATTAAAAATCACTGACAAATAATCGCTTTCTTTCTCAAGTAAACGATTTTAAATCCGTTATAAATTTCTGGTTACAATGCGTCCTTTTCTTCCCTCTACTAGAACTTTACGACAAAATATTCATTAAATTATAGTTTAAATTAGTCTAGTAAGGGTTTCTCTCTCAATTTTCTCTATTTCTCGTCTCCCTGACCACTCACGNATTATAGTTTAAATCAGTCTAGTAAGGGTTTCTCTCTCAATTTTCTCCTTTTCTCGTCTCCCTGCACACTCACGCTAATAAATGAAAACCTTATTCTACACAAGATAAAAATAGAAATAACTTATCTAACTTTGTGGTAACTGATGCCAAAAATTTGAAGAAATCTCCTAAAATGATCTTTTATTTTAGATAGATTGTAATGCTACAGGAGTACCACCCAGCTGCAGGTTTATAAAACTATTTAGTTAATGAAATAATTGTGTGACTCTAAAACTTAAAAAATTTAGTATATTTCAGAAAGCCAACCATCCTTTACATTGGGGGCTTTTCAAAAGATTCAAAGAAAAAGAGAGGTAACACCCAACTTGTATAGAAAAACTAAATTCCATATTGTGCAATAAATTTCAAATATTTCCATGTTTAATATTTTTCAAATATTCAAAAATGTCAAAAATCATTTTAACATTTATGCTGTGGGAGGGGGTGGCTCTCCCCAGCAGGAATGCAGTGTTAAACATTGTAAATCACATGGTATTACAGATTCTGGACCAGCAGTCACATTTCCACCTTGCAATAACAGTAATTTTGATCAGTTACCTGCAGATTATGAAAATGAAGGTACAGGGTGTCCTACAATATTTGACAGTAGAAAAATGATTTTATGATGGTCTTAAAGCTTTGAAGTTGATGCAGCATTTCTTCATCAACAAAATTATTTTCAAATTGTGGCCTGTTTTTTTTTATGCAGATTTTAGTTCATTTTTCAATTTATGCAATTCTGAACAAAATTCCTCGAATGCTTCCGACAATATTAAGAGCACAAAATGACCATATTTTAGAAATGCCAGGAATAGAGTTTCTTTGTGAATTCTGACTCTACAAATATATTTCTAAATTAAGGTTTATGCAAATAAGTGCAGAACAAATTATTTCAAAGGTCAAAGACTACCATCAAGTCTTCTTGCTATATACTGTCATGTTTTCTGGGACCCCTAAAGGAAAACCAGCTTGATTGGTAGCTTAAACTAATTGAAAATCAAAATTGATTAATAGAATCATGCTGAGAAAAGTGGAGTCTTTCAGTAAAAATTGTCACGAAAAAAATTAACATTACGCTGACATTTTAAGGGAAAAGATTGACCAGAAAGCTAACAAAATAATACCTTTAGATGAAGACAATAAATCACTTTGGCAAAATTGTAAATTCTAAACTTCAGCATTTATAAAAGATTGAGATTCGATCAAATTAAGTTCTTAAAATTCAGAAAAAAAATAAACAAAAAAACCTGTTTTAATTCTATCATCTATAAAATAATAAGAGCATATTAAATAGATTAATTTCAAAATAATTATATTGTTTATTTTAATCCATCACATCTTTTTTTCAGATTTTTATTGGCAAACAGGTAAAAGAATTTATTTTTGAATATATCTATTCATGTCCTCTCAAGTAAAAGATTGAGAGATTATTTTTGCATTAATTTCAAAACATATATAATTAATAACCAGTCAAATTCATCATTAAAACCTGCAAGACTAAGAATCAAGTGTTTTTATATGTAGATACCTTTTTTGCTATTTCGTTCATCAATGCCTGAAATTGAGGGCAAGCTTGACACATTTGTTATGACATATTGGAAGCAATCACTTTTCTGTAATTATTAATTCATTGCATTCATTTACCTAACCCTTCAATCAGACTATAATCCTTAAATTTTCTTTTATTTTATTAAAAATGCAGTGGAAAAATAAATATTTAGATATCTTTCAATTATTAATATTTATCATCTGTGAATTTTCATTTATCCATTTAAAAATCCAATTGTTTTGCATCTTCAAGAAACCAGCACCATTGATTTGGCATTGAATAGTTGGCTTGGTAATAAATTGGTAATAAGTGATTACACAATTACAAAATAACAAAGGATTTAGGATCTGCTATTATGAATGGTGACATATATTCTTGTGGAGGACTCAGAGGTTATATAACACCGTAAGAAATATTATTATTTCAATATAATTTAAAGATTTAGTAACTCTGGGTGTGTATGTAGACTGCACAACATATTCTGTGTTTGGAAAATGTTTGTCATAACTCTTGTCTTTCACTCCGGAACAATCCCATGGTTTCCAAAGAAAAAGTTTGAGTTTTTTCAACAGTTTATATGGTCTACACATGTAAAAATCCCAGAAATTGTAAATACAAACTTTTTATGACCAATTTTGAGTTCAGTCTTTCGGTAGGAGAGTAGGAGTAGGGTTAGACAAAGTAACAACAAACTATTCTAAATTTGAAATAAATGTTTAGAGCTTTGAAAGACTGCCAAAAGAATGTTAGAGGGCACTGGGAGAAGGCCCCTAGTATGAATACTGAAAGGGCAGGATTTTCAATGACGACTTTGGGGGATAGTATCATTGCTGCTGGTGGATTCAATTCTAGAGGGATTCCTCTTAAAACAACTAAAGAATCTGGTAAATCATGGTGAGGAAATCAATATTAGAATCCAGTTATTTCAAATTTTTTCTCAAGATTACTTTAAAATAGATTATCCACCAAAAATTCAGGCAAAAATATTTATTTATATTTTTGCTGGCCGAAAAGGTGCCAGAAACTCTTTTGCCAATGGGATTTCCAGTAGAATGTTTCACGCAGAAACTTTCCAAATGGAGTAAGCTATGTTTATTCATGATCCATGGATGATAAATTTTTTGTACACTCATGACATCAACAATATATTATTTCTTTGGATATTAAGTCCGAACCATAGCTTATAAGGCTAAAACCTGCAGTTAAAGCTACAATTTGATTTAATTTATTTTGTGTTAGAAAAGTTATACTACAGTGGGAAGTCTATTTAGCAATATATTACAGATGACATTATAGTGCAGCTTTGCTTTCTCTCCAGCTTGCATGTAGACAATGGGAAGCTGTGTTAACAAAGCAAATAATCTTTCTATAAAAATAATATTTTTTTATGACATAAAATTGATTGGCTTTATGTGTACTGAAACATTAAAGAGTAACTGTTTATGTTCTTAAATAAATTGTGTGAGGTATATACCCAGAATTTAAGCACAACCAATATGAAGTACACATGCAGTACACATGTTATTAAAGTGTTTACTGCATACTTTATCCAGCTGTGTTATATCAGGGTTAAATATCTCGAAGAATAGATACTAATAAATAAACCTGAATGTCTTCATGTTTCATTACACATTTAAAGTTATACCATTTTATGACTTAAAAGAATGATATCTTATAAACAAAACAAATATTTCCCCTTTAGAGTATCAGCTTCCCTTTGCTTACAAACAAGCTGGAAAGTAAGCAAAGCTTCACTAAAATGTTGTCTATATTATATTAGTATATAGGCTGAAGCATGACATTACAATTTTTAAACTTTTTCAAAAACAATTTGAAACAAATTTGATAATCAAAACTGTCAACATTTTTTACTACTGAATTCAGCTTGAATTTAGAAAAATTAAATTAAAATTTTTGTTAGAAGATGGAAATTCCAGGAAATTTTCTGTCAAAATATTTCCAATTTCTGGATATTCTGGAAAAACTTTTTTTTCTGCTGGAAAAAATGTTCCTTCTCAGAAGTCTGATTTCCGGTTGTTCTTTTCTTGGTAATTAAAATTTCTTTTGAAACAAATGTTAGCAGAAAATTGGACACTTTACTGTAAACTAAGCCAGAAAGCAATTTCTGGCCCCCTGTACGTTTGTTTGTATTTGTAAATGGAGCATTCAATGTCGGATTTGGACCAGCCCCAACCTGGAGTTAGTTGTTATTTGGCAGATTTAAAAACCCAAGCCAAGCTCTGAAAATGGTTAGGGATCGAGATAAGAACCAAGCCAGTTAGAAGAGTGAAAGATAAGCTCTACAGCTGATACAGCCAAATATGGCTTGTAAGGAGATGGTTAGATCTAAATACTTACGCCGAGATTGGCGGAAGATATATTCCCTCAAGTGTCAACTCCCATCTCAACTCATTCAAAGCATTATAATTGTTCATTTGTATTTGTTTATTTAGGTGTAAATATAGTTTTGCGTATTAAATTCGTATTATTACTTAATCCACGTAGGCTAATTCTGTAATTTGTTTCATTACTTTTAAATTGTCTGTTTTCATTTTTCTTAGAATTTTTTAGTTCAAATTGTAATTCTATATAACTTGTTTGCCTATTTCAAAATGCCCATAATTTTTTAATAATTTTACCTTATAATGGTGTTTTTATGTCTTTTTTACAAAATGGTGTTTTGTTAATTCATTTTGAAGATCTTTTTGCTCCAAAATGGAACATTTGTTCATGAGTTATTAAACAACATACAAAAAAATGAACAAATGACCAAAGTTATTTATGATTGTTTGATGTAATAGTTAATGTTTGAACAGGGACAAATTTTGAAGGGGTATGATACCACTTGATTCAATTGAACTTTTTGATGGAAATAGCTGGAAAAATCTTACGAACAAACTACCTCGCCCGATTGGTTCTCACTGTGCTGTTTCTATAAGGTAAATCAAATTAAAAAGTATAATATCAATAATTAATTAATTGCTTATCAGTGCCAAGATTACAATGTTTTAAAATCCATAAACTATTATGAAAAGAAATTGTATTGTACAGTACACTAGCATTTAGCAGCCATAAGAGGTTTCAGCACTTACCAAGTCCCTTTACTACTTGTACTTCATAACAAAAACAATAGTTTATCATGTTCATTAAACCTGTTTTGAAAAATTTCAGCATATTATCCAAATTTAATATAAAGAGCTTTATTCAATTTCTGATGGTCATATGATTGCATTAAAGTAAACATCTTGAAATGAAAAACATTTACTTTATATGTGATGCTTATTACCATGCAAGTTTTACAGACAGTAAAGCTACAATTTTTCAATCTTCAGATGAATACAAGAGATATAATGTAAATAATAGGGTTGTTAATCGTGTTTGAAAAAAAATGTTTTTCAATCTTTTTCAAAAAAATTTCATTTTTGGAAAAAAATTATCGTGTTTGAAAACAACCTTCATGCTTTTGATCGAAACACAGTCGTTTTTTGTAAACAATTGTTTTTATAAAAATGATAAGCGATAATTTTTTACAGGATTGTTTTTTTTCAAAAACAATCATTAACAATCCTCTTTGAAAAAAAGCATAAAAAAATAAATACTAGTTTTGGACTTTTCTTTTCTGAAGAAGATTATGAATGTCTCACATATGTCGTCTGTTATTCAGATTTTGAAATGTCGTCTTACATATCATGTTTGTAAACTCAATAATAAGTACCAATACCCTTCAGGTCGGTTTCCTCTCACCTAGCTTGCTGTGGATATAGCAAATTCCTCGTAGCAAGATGTTGTGAGATAGAGGACGACATTTAATCCATTCAATGTCGGAGATGCTATATCAATTGAACTACTGGCAATCTGAACTAATGTTAAATTCCTTTTATTACAACACCATATCGGGAATAAAAAAGCATTTAACATGCTTTTAATTTCTTCAAATTAGGTTATTATTGATCATTAATTCAATCCTCATACACAGAAAAGTCTAACATTATCAAATTTAATCAAACAAATAGTTAATAATTTATTTTTAAACATTATAAATTAAAGCTGTTTAAATGAGTTATTGCCTTTATGCAAATGATGTCAATTATTTTGAACAGATAAGTCTTTAAAAAAAGCTATCTAAATAATATTTGACTTTCTAAAAATACAGGGTTTGTCTTGCTGAACAGGATATCGAAATTTCCTTTCACACCCTTCATTTTTTTTTCTAAATGATAATAAGCCAAGTTAAAACTTATATACTATAGGCTAAAACACAACACAAATTCAGTAAGTGAACAGCTGACTTAAGTAAAATTGAGAGTTAGTCCATTTGACCATTAGTCCAATTGATATAGCACCAGATAATTGCATCTCATTATGCTTCAACAGTAGGAATTCAACTATATACGATAGAAACACAATGTATCCTGAAAGGTCTTTGTTAACCATCTTTAACAAAGGGTCATCGTTAACAATTGTAAACGAAGGTCGTTAACGATCATTAACAATCATTAACAAAGGTCATCGTTAACGATCGTTAATGAAACCATGAACTTAGTAAAAAAACAATCGTTTTAAAAATGATTTTTTTAAAAATGATAGTTTATGAAATGAATGTTTCGTTTTTGTTGTTTTCTTAATGAAATGATCGTTTAAAAAAAAATGAAAACGATCCATCCCTAAATGTAGATAAGAAAATGGTGACTAATATTGCAATGTATTTCTTTTTTTATTTTGCACTTTGTTTTGTTAATTAATCTAATTCTTTTTTATTCATATCATATCATGACTACAATTATAATGGTGTCAGATCTTTCAAGTGTTGCTTTATCTGTGGCATTATCTCTTATTAAATCATAAAACATTTGTAGATTAAAAAAAAATTCAATTTTTACAAAGCAATTTTTTGTTTAAATTTTAACCATCCCATGACCTTCTTTTGGGTCACACAAAAAATTGGGCCTGATTGGTACAACAGTTTTTTTTTTATTGAATGCAAACAAACAAACAAACCAAAAACTAAATTATATATAAAGATTAACTTTTTTCTAGCATAGCTTAGAAACCTTCATAACATTGGTGGAATCTCATTTAAAAACAAATAATATATTTCAGTGACACAGAAATATTGTTCATTGGAGGCGAAAACATATTTTCCTCCAGAAGTAATGATATTATCTCTTCTGTTATTCACTTTGATATCAATGATGGTTTCACTGGAAAACAAATCCCTAACATGAAATATACAAGGTTGTTAAATTATTAACTTTATTACAAATCATTATGAAATAAGGAAAAGGTTACAATTGTGATGTTTACATTGTCATTTTTCTGTTATTATTGAAAAACAGACAGTTTAAAATAATGATTTGGAAATTAACAATATTAAAATTTTTGTAACTGAAAAAAACAAACAATGTATTTTTCAAATTATACGCATAAAGGTTTATTTCAGTGATAATGAACCTTGAAAACATCTTTTATTACTGGCAAAATATTTCTTAGAAACACCTTAAAAATCATGAAGCCCCTTTACAGACAAGTAATGCAATGCATGTATAAGGCCATAATAAGATCGTTCAGGAAAAAGTTTGGTTGTGCAATGTTTAAAGGTGAAGTTTATGTTGCAGGAGGGGATGTCACTGAAGGTGTAGGTAAGCTATTCTTTAAAAACAAATATTGCACAGGCTAGAGATGTCAACGTTTTGATTTTTCTAGATTTTAGCTTTCGTTAAGATAGTGTTCATCAAAAGTATTAACGTTTGAAACGTTACGTTGCACATTATGAAATTTTATGGTATAGAGTAACGTTACGTAATGAATTTTCTGCACTTGAATACCTTATACAATGTTAAGCTTTAGTAAATGTTTTGAAAAAAACAGTAAGCTCCGTTACGCTTTTGCATTTGATGTTTTATAAAACTTTCCCAACGTTGCGTTAAAGTTTATGTAATATAACCACAATTTTTTAACGTTCCACTTTCATGCAAGGTAAATATTTTCAGAGACCTTACGTTACAGTTTTACAACGTTACACTTTTTATAAGTTGAACTTTGAAATAGAAATCCTTTCGTTACGATATTCAATCAATTCACAATTCATTTTTCAAACGTTAGACTTTCAAGCTCCCTTTGGAAACAAAACATTTCTTTACGTTATGGTCAAAAAAGTTGTAGATATTAGAAAAATAACGTTACGTTTCCACAAAACGCTAACGTTGGGGGCATATTCCTCTAACGTTAACGTTTAACGTTAACGTTAGGTATGAGCTCCTATAACGTTAACGTTTAACGTTCACGTTATATATAATATATCCAAACGTTACACATTAATGTAACGTAACGTACAAAAACGTACAATTTACTTTACGTTACACTATCGTTGACATCTCTAGCACAGGCACCCTCTCTCTAGTTTATTTGGATTTACTGAAAACCAACAGTGGGGTTTCTTTACTAGTACTTTCAGCCATTCTTTTAACCTCCCTCTTGGCACAGGGGAGTGTGATACTTTTTTTTCTTGTCAAGGTCTTCTTATTGTCTAAAATCATTTGTGTAAATCATATTCATGGCCACTTACAAGTAACAAAAATGTATTTTTTGGTACTTTGAAAAAGTCATTTTTACAATTTTAAACAGCACTTGTGACACAGTGGTCTAAATTTATTTTCCTATGTTAAAATTTCCCAAGTTGACATTCTAAAAGCATGTCATAGTTTAATCTTTAAAAAGTCAAACAATTTAAATTGTTCAAATAATGCCAAAATTGGTTTAAAAAACTGTCTGTTAAAGCTGATTCCAGATTTGTAGTAAAATCATAATATCTTGAAAGTTAAAGGCACTGGGCACTAAAAACTGTTAATATCTGTTATTCTTTTAGTAGATGGAAGAAGGAAAAGTAAGAAGAAAACTGCTGATAGAACCTCTGAGATACTAAATCTGGAAACCCTGGTGTGGTCCTTCAATAGGGGCAAAATCTAGTGATACTAATCTTCATGTTGTGAATGGTCAACTGATGATAGATGGTGATGACTCAGGAGAAGTATGGATTTTAGATGGTGTTGGTAGAAATTGGTTCCATCCAACAAGAAATAACAAACAAAATTCAGGGGATCGATCAAGTTCTGTTGCATTTACTTGTAAGTGAATGAACACTGTCCAAAATATATTTTTAATGAATTTTCTTGAAAGTGATAAAATACTTTGTCAGCTCATATTTTGGGCTATAAGATAATTGAAGTAAGAATAATAGTAGAAAGAGTTTATATGTGTGTCGTATAATGTCCTAGAACTAATTGCATCTTCTATTCAAATAAAAATGAACACAACACTGAACTTTAAGCAAACAAATAGATAAATAAGATACAAAGAAAAAAGTTTGTATAACACATTAACTGACATTAAAAAATTATTTGAAGGGACTGTAGTTTTAATTTTGGTGTTAGGTACTTTACCAAACCCATTTTCTCAAGGACAACTTCCCAAGTAACAATTTCCCCAGTAGCAACTTCCCAAGTGTGCAATTTCCCAAACAGGAACTTCCCAAAGGTTAGTTTAGCCACTCTAAGGCGCCACATGCTGCAGAAATGGGGGCCAAGTGCTGCTGCTAGGAAGTTACTTCTTGGGAAATTGCATAGTTGGGAAGTTGCCACTTGGGAAAATTCTTTGGGAAAGTACCTAATATCTTAATTTTAAGTGGCCCATATTAAAAATGTGCTGCTGGATTTACAATTTGAATTTTATAAAAATGTAAATGATTATATTGTTTGGTATTTTTGCTTGAAAAATGTTCTAGTTCTGTAAATTTTAACATGGTTTCTTCAACAAGAATTGTCCCTTCTGTATAGAAACTGCAAATGAAAATAATGTAAACCAGGCATACCATGTTCAATCAAAGGAAATTATGGTCTAAATAAATATTGAAAGCTTTCCATTTTCCATCTTCAATGGTTCCCCAAAAATTGTGGAAATAAATTGCAATAAAATGTTAAAACTTTGTTATCTACTCTTATTTTTCTTCTACCTCATATGAGGTAGAATTTATTGGATATTTGATCTTACTGTGAGCTCTGAATCCGTTAGGGCTTGCTAACTAGGACTGGGCACAGTCCAACTTTTTCAAGCCGTTTAGTAATAGTTAGTTCCAAATGTTTTTAAAATAAAATCTCAGGTAGCCAGTATTAGTTTTAGAGGAAAACAATGAAACTTCATTTTGTTAATGGTATTTTACGATTTTTTCTTTAAGTTATCGTTAATGATCTCAATTATATTAATGTCGTTAACAGAAGCTTTTCAACAAATATTACAGAATTTATGATGTTAAAAACATTGAAACAAATCAATTTTTTTTTTTACATTGTTGAATGTAATTTTAGGCTGATTTAAATGAAAAAAGGTTAAAAAAGATAAATTCTTTTTGTTTTTGTTCTCAAACATTAATTTAATTTTCAAAAATGGCTAATCTGTTCATTAACAATTTAAAAATTAATGGTTTTACAAAAAATATTAAAAAAAAATTAAAAACATTGTTAAAAAACTAATGTTTTTTGTCGTTTATATTTAGACTCTTCCGTTTATTTTCGAAAACCTCATTTTGTTAATGGAACTTTGCGCAGCGCTGTATGTATAAAATGCCTTTTTTTTGACGACGAAATGTGCACTCTTCAGAAGGTGGGTGGTGAGGATAGTAAAGGTCGGAGAGTGTTGTGAATGCCAGAAACAAGCTTAAAACATGTGATTTAATGGGAATCGATACCCATATTGTATACCATGCCCATAGAATTAATGCCATCATGTTCAACTCCAAGGGTGGGGGTGGGTCTCTCTGAAATATAGACGGTAGTTGGGGTAGTAAGGGTAGTTGCCATCAGATTTACCTGCAAGGGTGGGGGTGGGGTCTCTCTAAAATATAGACGGTAGTTGGGGTAGTAAGGGTAGTTGCCATCAGATTCAACTCCAAGGGTGGGGGTGGGGTCTCTCTAAAAAATAGACGGTAGTTGGGGTAGTAAGGGTAGTTGCCATTCAGATTTAGCTCCAAGGGTGTGGGGGTGGGGTCTCTCAAAAAACAGACGGTAGTTGTGTTAGTGAGGGTAGTTCGTATTAAGATTTAGCTTCAAGGGTCTCTCTGAAAACACATGGTAGTTGGGGATGTTTGTATCCTAGATAACTTACAAGTTTGTCCACGTATTTCTATCCTATATAGGGTGTCCCAATAAACATGGGAATTAGATATAGTCTTTTTAAATAATTCTTTGATTTAGTATAGGTATACATACTTAGAAAGTTGTAATCTGTAAGAATTCCGTCTGCTATGTTTACATTTTGATTGTTTATGTATTTACTGCATACGGTTGTATTTAGTAAAACAAGAAAATTGCAGTAATCAAACAGAGTAAACTTGTCCGTCTTCACTGTTCATCTTGCGGATACATTATTGACACATCATTACAGCCATTTACCGTTCTCATAAATTAAACTCTAGCAGACATTATTACATTATGGCTTTTGAAATTAGGTATTCCAATGATAATTCTAAACAAAGACGATATCGAATTAGTCACTGAATTCCCATGTTTTTTGGGACACCCTGTAACTAGGGTAGTTGCCATCAGATTCAACTCCAAGGGTGGGGGTGGGGTCTCTCTAAAAAATAGACGGTAGTTGGGGTAGTAAGGGTAGTTGCCATTCAGATTTAGCTCCAAGGGTGTGGGGGTGGGGTCTCTCAAAAAACAGACGGTAGTTGTGTTAGTGAGGGTAGTTGGTATTAAGATTTAGCTTCAAGGGTCTCTTTGAAAACACACGGTAGTTGGGGATGTTTGTATCCTAGATAACTTACAAGTTTGTCCTTCTTTGATTTAGTATAGGTATACATACTGAGAAAGCTGTAATCTGTAAGAATTTCGTCTTCTATGTTCACATTTTGTTTGTTTATGTATTGACTGCATACGGTTGTATTTAGTAAAACAAGAAAATTGCAGTAATCAAACAGAGTAAACTTGTCCGTCTTCACTGTTCATCTTGCGGATACATTAATGACACATTATTACAGCCATTTACCGTTTTCATAAATTAAACTCTAGCAGACATTATTACATTATGGCTTTTGAAATTAGGTATTCCAATGAAAATTCTAAACAAAGACGATATCGAATTAGTCACTGAATTCCCATGTTTTTTGGGACACCCTGTAGTTTACAAATTTGTCCGTAAATTTGTTAGAATTTTTAAATGAAGAAATTAATCTTATACTTTAGGGAACCCAAACTCCAAACTTTTGCATGTACATAATTTTTGCTAGTGCCATATTTAAGCACACAGGATATGAATTCGTTGAAACAAAATTTGTGTTAAGAAAAAAACTTAACGAATTCAACCTTGTACCCATTTTGTAATATTATTAAATTAAATTATTTTTGATGGCAAATAATCAACAACTCGGACTAAAGAACAATATTTTAACTTAACAAAAGTGTGGATAAATGAATAGAGAACGCTATAAAATTCACGTATTTCTGTTACTAATATAATAGTAAGAACATTTTTTTACATTAATTACATCACTGTATGTCAATTAATCGTTTGGATAAAAAATAACAAGAAATGAACGAAACATTTTTTATTATTTTGGTGTTTAATTCGCAATTTTTNTAGTTGCCATTCAGATTCAACTTTAAGAGTGGGGGTGGGGTCTCTCTAAAAAACAGACGGTAGTTGGGGTAGTAAGGGTAGTTGCCATCAATTATTGTTTTATATGCAAATATAAATTTGATTAAAAAATTAACTTTTTTAGGTTAAAATATGCGAATTGTTTTTCAAAACTGTGCATGAAGTAAACTGTACATAGAAACAAAATTGAAAAGCATTACGTTGTAATTATACATACATTTTAATGATACAGATGCTTGTGACTGAAATATTAAATGTAATGAACCGGATTGGATTTCCACAGAAAACAAAATTACGAACAACAATTTTAGTTCAAAAATTAATGACTCAATATAAGTTTAAATTGCTATCATGGAAAAAATATTTAAAATCTTGTAAATAGCAAAGATGAGGGAGGGATGGAAGGGATTTTCAACAGACTACATTGGTGAAGGATTAAATAATTTTCTAGAACTGACAGGACCTCTAGGTCTAGTTCATCTGGTTCATCACTGTTTCATCATTAACTTAATTTTTAATCAATGATGCCTATTTTCATTTTCGAAAAGATGTGAATTTTAAGGGGTCCGTTTTGGAGGGCGGGGGGGAAAGGAAATAAAAGGTAAAAGAGGGTTAAGAGGGAAAAAAATTAAGTAAGAAATAGAGAAAATCAAAACCTTTTTTGTGAAAATGTGATGTTTTTCCTTTAAGGAAAAGGGAGAAAGGGAAGGGGGGATGATGGAATGAAAAGGAAAGGGGAATGTAAAGAGGAAATTTATTTTTTTAACTGCTAGTTCTTTCACACAGAATACCAGGCAAAGCTATTTTTCCCTTAGATGGCAATGTCATGTTTTCACCCTTTAAAAAGCTAGAATATTATTGTACACATTCATGTATAAAAG